TTCTAGAATACAAAATGGAAAGAGAATTTAAAAATTTAGGAATATTTTGCAAAAACATTAAGATATGATTTAAGAACGCTTGTTCTGGACACATATTTTAAAAAAAATTTCTACAAAAATACATTGGAATATCTGTAACTGAATTAGGCAGTTGACATAGACATTTCATGGACATAGACATTTTTACTTATTACTAAACAATGCAGGTAATTGGTGAGTTGCAGACAATTTGGTTTACAAAACAAAAGATACAGGTAACATGAACATACTGTGCTTCTGATTGAAACCATAGTGATGTGAATGTGATTACAGCATTAAAGGTGCAGGAAGATAAAAGAAGAAACAGAAGTATTCCTTTCCCCTTTTCTTTGTTTGAGATTTCCATTTTTGGATTGTAACATAATGGCTGTTTGAGATTGCTAATCCTGTTTGATTCACACTCATGTGCTTCCCAAGGTATGCCACTCTGGGCAAGCTAGCCAGAAAGAAAGAAGAGCAGCTTTTCTACAGTGTCATCCAGAGCCCTCTCCCTCTTCCAAAGCCACCTTGCAAACAGCCATTGAAATCAAGAAGCTCCAGTGCCCACAGGATTCTAACTGTCCACACGAAGCTCTGGCTCATCTCCCACTAAAGTGTTACCTATTTATCTACTCGCATATAACATGCTTTCAAGCTGCTAGGTGGGCAGAAGCTGAGGTAAATGGCAGGAGCTCACCCCACCACGTGGTGCTAGGACCCGAACCACTGGAATAAAGACCATCTCCAGCATCATTAAGCCACTGAGCCACTGTGCCTCTGAACATAATAGTGACAACATACATTTGTCATTATCTTTTTTGAATAAATGATGGAATACAAAACAGCTTATTCCCAATTATTCTAAATAATGTTATACTTTTTAGCCTTTCTCAGTCTACAGATTTCCAAAGGATTGTTGATTTCTCAAGTATGAGAAACTTTCATGATGAACTTTCAGTATCTCTAAATCTTTAAATGTGCATAGTAATGTCAAGCTATTTACATGGAATTTACTTGTTCCATAATGAAATTATATTCATGTAAACATAGTAACCATATCGGCATTCAAGGCATCACTGAAAAAGGAAAAGCTGCTATGCAACTGAGAATTTTTACACAGGAAAGAAAAGTGTTTATTTTGCCATGATTTCCATCAGAGATGCCTAAATCCAGTTCCAAACTAAGTCTGTAGCAAAATACCTCTGTGTTGAATACAATAACAGGATTTTCTAGTTCCCACTTTTCTATTCCTCCTCAGTGCTCACTTTCTGATCTTTACCTGCTTATCTATTGGATTTCCTTTTTGTCTGCATTCTGTTTATTCCTCTTGAATTCCCACTAATCTTGTTCTAGTCTTTTTCTTTTGTGAAAGTATAGAATTGTCATATTTTCCAAGCTTCATCAAAGCCCAGAAAAACTGATAAACAGTATATACAACCAAGTCTGCATTAGCTATATTCCAAAAAATTAGTAAACTAGAATACATTCTGATAAGATAGTTCATTTCATTTAGTCCCCATGTTTCCTTTTCTTAATCCACCTGTTCATTTACTTAACATAGTTTGTTCCCTGCACTTTTGTCATGTTCCTATCAAGTATGCATTAAAATAAATTGCTTTTCTAAATTAAAAAAGATAATATTATTAAATGTTTGGAATTATTGCTTTGAATGACATTTTAAAAGAATCCGTTAACATATTTGTGAACATAAAAAGTTAGATCTTTTATCCAGATTGCTAACAAGCCATTAAAATATTATTGCCTATGTTATTAGGTGAATAGAATCTTTAGCATCTATAGGGGGGAAAAAGTAGAATTCTTTAATTTTACAATATAAAGGTTCTATGCATAGATAATATGGTAGGTTTTTTATGTGTGTAACATTTAGTAAGGAACTCAAAATGAACAACATGGAGAAACTAAGGCAACATTAGAGATTAACATTATTTTTAATGCAAATGTACGAATAGCTATACAGGGAGAGCCAATTTCATAAATATTGAGACCTGCCTTGTGACTAATTTCTGATTCCTGACAATAAGTAACTTTAATTTATTTGACCTATCATACTAAAATGCCTAAAAAGTATCTATACGTTTTTGTGGCTTTAAAAAATTTGAATTGGATACAAGTTGCAACAGTTACATTATTATAACAGGATAGCATATATACATTTAATACCAATTGGTACATAAGATTTTTAAGTTACACCCCTTTAAGCTTTATTAATGTGCCAATTTTTTTTCATCAGAATACATGAAACTTACAGACCAATGAGATGATTAAAGTGTGATGAAGCAAACCAAAGTAATGAAAATTAATGTAGGATTTTTCAGTTTGTGGTACAAAATCTTTTGATTCTAGTAACTGCTTGCTCAGACAACTTCCCCAGTAATGCAAAATAATAAAATGGGAACAATATAACTGTTAGGAATAACATAGGTTACCTAACGTAGTTTGGGTAAAATAATATATATAGACTATGATTGTGAATTTAAGTGTGTGTCACTTTAACTGCAAAGCATGTAATTTTGGGTGCGGCTGTAAATTGCCATAAGAGGGAGCAAGAGAACTGGATTGATTGCTGGTTTACTGGATTGCTTGCTGACGATGATGGATTGATGGTGTGATAACTGCGTGTTTCTCTGCTGTTGCTGAAGGAAGACAAGAGGTTTGACTTCTTCATATCTCTACTCCGAAGAGATATATTACTGGACTGATATTTGTAAGTTTAATGACCTCTTTTTCGACACTGGACTTTGCAACTGATTAATCCCCGGATAGACTGAACTAGTGTATGATATATGGACTGTTTGACTATGCTATAAAAACTATTACTGAAATAAACTATTTAACTAGCACTGTGTATCTGTTTTACTGAGTGTAAAGCTACAAACACGTTTGTCTCACATATTTGCCTGCCTGCCTGACTGCCGTGCAGGTTCTGCTAGGGTGTATATCCCTAACAATAACAAGCAAAAATAGGAAGATTGACACATGCAACTATATACATACATACATACTTACATACATACATTTTGTGTGTGTGTGTGTGTGTGTGTGTGTGTGTGAGAGAGAGAGAGAGAGAGAGAGAGAGAGATTGAGGGTGAGAGAGTAAGAGATTGAAGGAGAGACAGAGAGAGAGAGATTGAGGGAGAGAGAGAGATTGAGAGAGAGACAGAGATTGAAGAAGAGACAGAGAGATTGAGGGAGAGAGGGAGAGGGAGACAGAAGCTAGCTAAGAATTTGCAGGAGGAATAATGAACAAGAAAGGTGACTAGGGAAAAATGAATAACTGAAATGTAAAACCATTAGTGTAGATACTATAAATGGTTTGGTGGTTCATAATTCTATTTCATATTTAGATTATTTTTACTATCTTTGACTACCATCACCATTATATATTAATGAAATAGCTTTAAAATCTGAATAATTTTAATTGCATGATGAAATCTTATGCAGTAAGGGTTGAGATATTCAATCAATTTTCATATACAGCAAAACAATTGTTATGAATGATTCAAACTGTAATTGAATCTAAACAATATAGACATAATACTTGTTTAGTTCCAGTTATTGCTCAGAGAAAGCACTTTCCTGAAGTAGCAAGCCCATAACTCACAACTCTGGCTAGAAAAGTAGGTAAAAACCAAGGAATTTTCCTCCAACTTAGACAGTTGCAACTCCTTTTGGTTGGTAAGCCTTGGTGATAATGACTAATGTGACCACTACATGCTTAGGCTACTCATAATATGTATTCTTTGTGGATCTGCTTTTGCAAATAACTTAGTAACTACAGCCAGTATACAATATAACAGCCTGCCTGTTGGAAAAGAAGCCATTGCAGCTTTACCCCTGTACTCTAGTTATTGTACTGGTTGCTAATAGCTTTCCTAGCCCAATTCAAAATGCTGATTTAAGTGTCTAAAGAAGCTCACAGTGTGAGTTACCTTTGGAACCATCTCATCTTATGAACTCATCAAGAGAGGATTCCAGCTGCACAGAGTTGAAGAAACCTGGACCTGATGGCAGACATTCTCCATGGTGGTCCCAACATTTTGGAAATCCTTTGCCTTCCGAGATGAACCTGGCCCTTCACCATAGTACTTCCACAAGGCACTTAAAATTATACATTGCTCAGGTGAGTTGTTGAATTTTTAGTAAATATGTCAATGCTTTGGGTTTGCAATTTTAACTTGTTAATCTGGGTGTGATAATACTGATAATGTTGTTTGCGTGTTCCGTTTTTCATGGGATTTTATTGTATTCTCTTATGCAAGGGGCAATGTATAAACACTTAATAAACGATTCAGTGATGTGAGTCATACTTATTAATCGTTGTTTTTCACCATCCAAAAATGATATTGTATCTGCTATAGGAGTAATATATACAGGAAAATATAACATTGTTACTTTAGTAAATTAGATGTCATACATTAGAGTTCTGTTACTTTGTCATAGTGTTTAAATGGGACACGGGGCAAATGATTACATTTTTATCTTGAATATTTTACTGTGAAGTTAAATAATGTATCTGAATCCTGTCTTATCTTGACGATCATTAAATGGACTTAGTTACATTATCAGTCTAACCCACCTGAGTGGGTTCTTGTGAGTATAAGATGGACGAGATGTATGCTCTGTTGAAGGCAGACTATACATGTAATCCATAATCAACACACCAGCAAGCAACACAATCCACCAAGTGCAACGTGGCTCTGGCTCCATTTCTGTGCAATAACATTTCCGTTGAAATCTCCTCAGGTTCTCTCCTTCCTTCCAGCCTGAATAAATTGTCCATTGACCTGTCCCTGAGAAGAGCCTGAGTGACACTGGACCTGCCTCTCACCGAAGACCCTGCCGTGCGAGGGGAGGGGGATGATGATGGTGGGTGGCTACGGAATCCCGTTGCCCACAAATCTTACCCCGCCTGGGATACTGGGGAGGAGTGAAGAGCCCGGGCGCGTCACGGTGGGTGTGCGCGCCTCGGAGCTTGGGATAAAGGGCTGGCAGCGAGAGGCGCTCCGCTCCCCAGCAGCCGCCTTCCCCTTTAGAGACGCGAAGCTTGCCAGTGCTATCGTGGGGGAAGGAAGACTAGAGACATCACTGTGAACTGCCACTTGGGCACAAATTTGGGAGCGCACAAGTTGGCAGCAGGCGCCTACGCGCTCCCAGCAGGGCCGGAGGTAGCTCGTCCTTTTCTGCCACTTTGCTGCAAACTTCAACGACGCTCAGCGACCTTCGAAGCTGTGTGGCTCCACCGCGACCCCATTTCAAAAAGAGGACCGAGGTAACACCCTTCTTTTGCTCTTTGCCGCAAACGTGCGCGTGCGCACACTGGCCAAAGTCCCAATTCCCAGCGCGATTCCTTTTCTGCCGGCTGCTTGCATCCTTGCGAAAGAAAGCAGTCCTTTGAAACGGAGAGGCGAAACTGCCTGTGAATTTTTAAGCTTCTCTCCCACCCGGTGGCCTCCCTGGAGTTCGGCGTCGTTCCCAGAAACAGGAAAGAAGAGTCATTGTCCCATTGCAGTGGGGGCTCGGGGGCTTTTGCGAACAAGATAGAGAATAAAAGAGAACTGGAGGCGCGGGGAGGGTATTGAGGGACTTTGATCCTTCTATGAAAGTTGTTGAAATCTATGGATTTTTAAAAGTATTTTACAATTTCTTGTAATAGAGATGTGATTATGCAAGGCAAGAGAAAATGCATCATGCAAAAGTACACAAAAGCTGCCTCTTTTATTTTTCATCGGTTTGTATTATTGTGCCCACTTTCCATTTATTAATGAAATGCTTGTAAGTTCCATTGATTTCTGAGAGAATTATATCTTCCTTACTGCAAGTATGCAGAACAATTCAGATTATTTTTTTTACTACAGTTTAGAAGGAACTCTAACTGATCTTTTTGGGGGTGGGTGGGTGGGGGGGGAGGGGTTACTTGCTTGTTTGCTTTGTCAAATGCCATGAATATGAATTGTGACCAAAGGTTTGAAAATGCTCATGAATGTTGTTATAGAAAAATATTAGTTCTAAAAATAGAATGCTTTTGTTCAAACTTACATAAAGTTCAGGTCAGTGTTAAAATACTTTGGTGTCTTAACTGAAATTAGCATTTAGAACAATGCTTCCCAAACTTTTTCCTTATTACCCAAAACCTCTTACCAGAAAATCCTCTTTATCCAATGTAGATAAAAATTTAAGCCAATTTTAATGACCTTGAGTAATGGGTGCATATATGTTATCCTTAATCAAAGAAAAACCACCTTCCCCAAATTTGGGATAATTCAGATTTGGAAGCCACTGAATTAGAGAGTTCATCACAAGTTTAAATATCAGCTGAATGACTAAAAGGTAGAAATATAACCTGTAATGTTTTGTAAATAAATGTATTTGGCTTGCAATTTAAAATGATTATTTTTTTTTACAAAAATATTTTTCTGCAAAGCTCCTTAGACGGAGTGTTTTCTTTTTCTATGGTTTAAATTCATAGTTCTTTTTAAGTTACAAAAACTTTTTCAGAAGAGGTCTTTGGAAGACATAGAATTGTCAGCTAATTATATGGCTTTTTCCTTTTAAAGTACTTTTATAGGAAATATTAGTTTCTTTCAAATAGAGCCATAGTTATGCATTTAAGTAGTCCAACATAATGCTAGTGAATGGAGATGAAGATAAGTTGCCATTCAGAATCAATGCAAATATGATCTCTTTCCTCTTTAGTTATGACACGGAACAGCTGTCCTTTCACTGCTGCAAAATAGTTTGATTTTCTTTTGCCATTTCAGCCAACAGATCTGAAAGCAGCTTTTGGTTTGGAATTAACCCAGAAGAGTTTTGACATCATTCATCATGAACAGTGAAGAATGGTTTAGAGTAACTGCTTTGCTAGTCATAGCTCAGGCAGTTTCTACGATGGTGCTCCCCAATTCAACAGTATTTGAGGACATGCTGGAAAAATACATGGATGAAGATGGTGAATGGTGGATTGCAAAGCAAAGAGGAAAAAGAGCTATCACTGACAATGATATGCAAAGTATCTTGGATATTCATAATAAATTGCGGGGTCAAGTTTATCCACAAGCTTCCAATATGGAATACATGGTAAGGGTCTATTGTTCTTCATCTTCAGAAATTGTGTGGAGGGAATGGGTGTGGAGAAGAACAAAATGGTAGAATGATTTCTTTCTTTGAACAACATAGAAATATTACCTACTTGACATTGTATCTGCTTCACAGTGATTTCTATTTATCTTTCATGAAGTTATAATAACAAAGTAGAACTTCCTTTTCATATCAATTTCATGGTTTCTTCCAGAACTCTTAAAACATTTTCTCAAATTCACATTTTTAAAATTATACTTGGCTCATCCTTTCAAAGATATTTACTTATCTAAACAGATAGAATGATTATGAGTGGATAAAAAAAGCAGTGGGAATAGGAGTGATTTCCATCTTACTGTTGGCTTCCCCATTCATTTTAATTTTGGGAAGCTGGCAGGGAGGGTGGGAAATTATGATCACATGACTATGACTGACTGTGGTGCACTGCAGTGGCCACAACTAAGAGAACTTAACGGTGAAGAAAAAGGCAGTTGATAGTTAGACTAAGACCAGGAAAAGGAGACAATTAGCATATGTGGACAACAAGAAAGGAGGGGAGGGAGGAAAAAAATGGAAAGGAATGAAAGAGATGAGTGGGAAAGAGACTGTTAGCATTTGTGACTTAGTAAAAATTTTGAGGAAAGGGTAAAAAGGATGAAATATTGAATGAAATGAATGAAAGCAAAGTGTAGTTTCTAAGAGAAAGGGGAACAGATGTAGTAGATTGAATAGGTTTCATCTTATAGAGTGGAATTAATGAATATATTCATGGAAGTGAAAGTGAAATATGCATGAGAGTTAAACTATATATCAGAAAAAACAAATTGGTTATTATTTGGATGGCAATGTAGAAACCAGTAGGAATGTGCATGTTGGTTAAAAGATTGTATACATTAATTCATGCATGCATTATTCTATGCATAGATAGATTTTCCAAGGTCCAAACATTGGTATGTTCCTGTGTTGCAGGAGTCCCCAAACTTGGCAACTTAAAGACTTGTGGACTTCAACTCTCAGAATTCCTCAGCCAGCTATGTCTTAAAGTTGTCAAGTTTGGAGACCTCTGCTGTGTTGACTCAGAAACTATGATTGGTCTGCGAAGATCAGTGGCTGAGCTAGGAGGAGGGAGCATAAAGGAAAGAGCCATAATTTTTGAGCCATAATGTCTTTAAGAGTCATGGTGGCTCAGTGGTTACAATGCAGTATTCAGCTCACTGCCAGGAGTTTGATTCTGACCTGCTCAAGGTTGACTCATCCTCCCATCTTTCTGAGGTCGATAAAATGAAGAGCCAGATTGTTGGGGGAAATATGCTGACTCTGTAAACAGCTTAGAGAGGGCTATAAAGCACTATGAAGCGGTATATAAATCCAAGTGCTATTGCTATTGCTATTGAATATATGGAACAAAACGTATTTACTGTGCACACCTCTAAGTTGGTTATAATTACATTTTACATTCTAATGCAGGGGTGTCAAACTCAAGGCCTATGGGGTGCTTAGATGTGGCCCATGGGGCTGACCTGGAAACAGTGAAGGACTGGTCTGTGTTGCCTCTGCCAGCAAAAACAGAGCTTGGGAAAGCTGCGAGTGGCCTTCCCGATCTCCGTTTTCACTGGCAGAGGGTTGCAGGAGATAGTTGCAGCCAAAAACGGAACTCAGGAGCCCACAGGCACTCCCAACACAAGTGATGTTGAGCTGGCCACGCCCACCCTGGCCACGCCTACCGTGGTCCCTGAGGCCAAACACAACCCTGATGCGGCCCTCAATGAAATCGAGTGTGACACCCCTGCTCTTGTGAATGGTGATAACAAATGGTGAATCACAGGTTTTGGAAAAAATGGCTTAAGGAAAATGTTCTGAAGGAAAAATAATTCTGTTAGAGGACATAACCAGAGAGATCAGACTGCAATGAAAGAGTACATAAAAATGATTGGGCCAGAAATTCTAGAATGAATTAGAATGGCGACTGGTTATTTATTTAAAAAATACTGTTTGTATTTAAAACATAATTTAACCTCATTTAACATAATTTAACTTAATTTAGAGGGATGTGATGGCTCAGTGTCTAAGACTCTGAGCTTGTCAATCAGAAAGGTTGGCAGTTCGGCAGTTCGAATTCCAAGCACCGCATAATGGAGTGAGCTCCCATTACTTGTCCCAGCTTCTGCCAATCTAGCAGTTTGAAAGCATGTAAAAATGCAAGTAGAAAAACAGGGACCACTTTGGTGGGACGGTAACAGCATTCCGTGCGCCTTTGGTGTTTAGTCATGCTGGCCACATGATCAAGGAGACGTCTTCGGACAGCGCTGGCTCTTCAGCTTTGTAACGGAGATTAGAACCACCCCCTAGAGCCGGAAATGACTAGCACGTATGTGCGAGGGGAACCTTTACCTTTAGATAACCTAATTTAAAAATATGTTAAATTATTATCAAATGCCACAGAAGTGACTAAAGTTTTGCTGGCAAAATATTCTTTGTGAAGTTCCTTGTTAAACAAAGTTCTTTTAAAGTTCTTGTGAAATTTACAACGTTCTTTATGAATTTATATGTAAGAAGCTAGGATGAGAAAAAATACATAAGATAATTGCTGCAAAAATGAAGATGGTATAATGTGCATGAATAGAAAATACTGTTGGAAACAATATTGTCAAAGGACAAGGTATGGCTAAGATTGAAAAAAACCAAACAAACACAAAAACAGGTCATGGACTTAAACAATCATTTTGAAAATTAGTGAAGAAGGCTAAACAAGGAACCTTCAGCAGAATGAATAGAATTAAAAATAAATGTGATAAAATAATATGGGATAAAACTGAAGTAAGGAAACGATTATTTCATAGATATGCATGGAAAAGTTAGGGATATGTTGAAAAGTGCACTTCGAAGCAAAACAAAGAAATGATGAAAAGATAAAAAGAAAGTTATAAATGATGTGAGAATGTTGAGAAGTGGAAAGGCTGCATGTGTTGATGGTATAAGTGAGAAATGTTGAAATATAGATGCATTTGAGACTCAGTTAATATAAGTGTGAAGATTGTGTTTGTTTCTGATGATTGGACAATAGTGGTGACACTGAAGGTGTGATTCAAAGATCATTAGTAGTCTGCAGATGCCTACAAGATATCCACTCTCCCCACATTCTTGGGCCAAAGCCAGTTCACTGATTCATCTGGTGAGTGGTCATATGCTTTCTGCCTCCATAGAATGCCAACACTAGAATTTGTGACTGAAAACAGTCATTGATGCACTAAAGTTACAGTACAGATAGCTATGTGAGTACATTCAGAAATCATACAAGAGTGGATTGGTCAATAACAAGTACAGTAGCAAAAACAATAACTGTGAATGACACAATCAGATCAAGAATAAAAGGGTAAAAATAGGGTTCACTGAACTGAAGATCATTCATGCCTGATAGCTAAATAATCATATTTAGGAACAGGAAGTTTGTAGTCAGAATTATTGTAATGGCCATAGTATGTATAAGTTAAGTGATAAATAGATAGTTAATTTTGGTTTAAAGTTTTTGGACAAAATTTATAAGAAAGCACTTAAAATGGCAAAAATTGGAAGGGCAATGTAATAATCTTTCTTGCCCCCCAAACATGAACCTGAGTCCTCTTAAAGATTAAAAAAAGGAGAAAATATTTTGGGATATACCAGTAGTTTCTTAATTTTATGCATGTTTAGTTCTTCTACAATTGCATAAAATGTAAGATATTCTTTATACCAATGATAAGGTAGCAAGCAATAAAATAAAAACTACAGAGATATTTTTAGGAAATGTATTTTAGAAAGAGTTTGGAAAAAGTCTCATGAAATAAAAAATGAAATATGATTATGATAGTGAGCAATATTTGAAAAGTAAATGGCAGTTATATAGTCAGTAGGCAGGTACAATGCAGTTTTTCCCTCTTTAACAGTTTATTGTGAAATGAATGAATGTAAGAGCTTATGCTGATTTTTTTAAAAAAAGTATGATAAAGTGAGTAGGCTTTAATGATGGAATGTTTTGTGCTGTATAAAAGGTTGGTTGTGGAATGTAATAAGATGATATACAATCGAAATAAACCAGGTAGAATAATTAATTATATGCTTAGCCCTGATTCAACATTGATTAGGGAAAAAGACATAAATAAGTGCTATCCCCTTGATTGTTTAGAACAGGGGTGTCAAACTCAAGGCCCATGGGCTGGATCCTACCTGCAGGGTGCTTACATCTGGCCTGCTAGGTGGCCTAAGGTTTCTGCCAGCGAAAATGTAGCTCGCATGCGGCCATCGCTCCTTGGCTCCATTTTCACTGGCAGAGGGATACAGGATGATATAAATAGAATAAAAGGGGAATTGGATCACAAAACAAATATAGGAAGGAGGATGAGTGGACATGGTGAAAGAAAACAGAATGGATAATAACATATGTAGGAACAGTGAATGGGTTGAGAAGAAGTTGCAGATAAAAAAATCATGCTTGGATAGAATTAATGAGATCCTCAAAATATATATATATGAGAAATTGAAAGAATGAACTAAAGAGTGTAGCCTTGACAGAACACACACACACGCACACACACAAACATCAGAATGTAATTAGTTTATTTACCTAAATTAATGAACAGGAAGAAGTGAGCTAAACTCAAAAAAGTAGCAATGACTTTCACCCTACATTGGTTTAAGGGGGTGTGGTGGCCTAGCAGTTAAGATGCTGGGCTTATGGACAAGAAGGTTGGCAGCTTGAGACCCAAGCATCACGTGATGGGTTGAGCTTCCATTCTTGTTCCAGCTTTTACCAACCTCGAAAGCATGCAAATGCAAATAGATAAATAGGTACCAAATCAGTAGGAAGGTAACAGCATTCAATGCTTCTCTGCATATAGTCATGATGGCCACAGGGAAGTATCTTTGAACAACCCTGGTTCCCTTGGCTAGGAAACGGAGATGAGCACTCGCCCCCCTAGAGTCAAACACAATTGGACAGGGGAAACCTTTCCTTTTTTATATTG